TGATTATGTGTACTTAACAACCTTACAACTCAAGTCATCAATTTCGTGCATGCATTAGACGCATGGAGAAGGCAAGGAGAAAGTCTTTTTGCTTCAGTGTAATAACCCCTTGCATTAACTGTTGGTTAGATTTCAACCATGTGCCATTAGGGTCACTGCACCAGAGTCACTTTTGTGGCTGGTAGCTCAGCTGCAGAAAGAAAACTTGTAGCTTCATTTATGTTGCTCTGAGTTGCCAGACTGGTGCCTTTTGTCACGAGGCTGATGTGCCCCGACAGCCCCGAGTGCAGGAGGCAGCGAGGTGGGATGGTGCAGGTGGCTGGCCAGCGGCCGCGAGCGTTTCCTGGTCACGTTCGCTGCCACCAGCCAGACCGTGAGCCGCGCGGACCAAGTTGCACTCTTGTCTCTGCGGATGTTGCTGTTTCTGAACCACTTCTTTGTGTCCCTGAGTGGTGAGCAGCTGAAGAAAACGTGCAATTTTGTCAAATATTGATGTTATGGTTTCACTGGCTTATTTCAATTCCATCCCCTTTTGTTTGAACACTAAATATACAGTACAGGGGAAGTGTGCATCATGGTGGGTTTCCACCAAGCTATCATCTTCCTTCCTCTTTCCTCTATTACTTAAAGAAGCTTCATAGGCCTTTGATCCAGGTTTAGTAGCACAGCTGTATTATGTAGTGGTCTGTATGTTTATTATATTGAATCTAGAAGACAAGTGGTATTTGCACAAAATGTGTCACTTCTGGTTTATTTTTATGTCTTTTCTGGAGCAGTGCATTTTAAGGTGGTCACATTAGCCTGTGATAAAATTTTAGCAACTTCAGGATAAAACTCTCACGGTTGTGTTCTGTTAGCAAGGTAAATCCGAACTAATATATTGTAGGAAGTTATTTGTTTCCATGTGACTTCAGTAAAGGTTGACAGCTCTAATTTAGTTGGATCATCATATTTCAGAACTTGTCTTCTTTTTGATGCAGGTAATGGTATATATTGGGGTTATGGTAGATCTGTAGCCATCCAGGACATAGTTAAACAGAAAGGAGAGGAAAATGATGACTGCCAAGTAAAGCAGCATTATCAGTTTCCTCTCTCTCCTGCACTGAAAGAGACAGGGGGAGCAGACAGCGCAGAGTTTCCTGATATGTTTTAAGAAAGCCTGGGATTCATTTCCCCTCCCTTCCTTCCTATTAGTTGTTTGTTAACTCCCAGGAAGCTTCAAATCTTTCAGCTTGCATATTCTGGAAGCTTACTTTGCCTTTGAAGGGGCTCAGTTCTCTTCATGCAAAGTTAGGGAGAGGAAGGAGGATAGATGATACAACTCTGCTTTACAGTAGATTAACAGAAGGGCAGTTTTTAATAGACAGCACTGTAGTGGCACCAGTAATTTCTTTTAATCTGCTGGTATGAGCATAGCACTGGCTCCTGTGGAGTGCAGGATACTTCAAACACAGAAATAGGAAATGCAGCAAGTGTCAGCATTAGGTTTCTGTCTGTTCGAGTGCTGATTTATTAGCTTATGAGAAAGACCTTCAACCGCCCTTCTTCAGTGAAAACCTAGGATGTCTCTTTGCAACTACTGAACATCTCATATAAATGAGAAGAATGTAAAGACCAAGCCAATAGAAGAAAACACCTGGAGTGAAGAACAACCGTGGGACACTGTATCTGGTTGATCTGAACTAACAAGCTGGATTTTTTTTTTTTTCCTGTGAAAACAGCATAGGGTTGTTTCAGATGGATACAGTTCTTTTGGATGAAACATTGAAAAATGCAATTTTATGCCTATTTTGAAGATTTCATTTGCTAGTCTTACCTACCTGTGTGAGAAGTTAACCCTTCTTTATTTGTACAACACACACCGGAGACAAGACAGACTGCAACATCGTACGTGGTGTACACACCAGGTCTGGTACCTGCTGTGTGAGGTATACTAGAAAGTGTGAGAATCTTCCAGCTTTGTGTAGAAACTTGCTCTTTCGTGTCTGTTAAGTACAACTGTGGGTTTTTTTTTTGTTTTTTTCTTTCTAGTAAAACCAGCTATTGCTTTCTAAGGAAAAGCATATACAATATAAATAACTGAACTGCACCTATTTCCAGGCCTTTAAATCTCTCTTTTTTTTTGGGTAGTGTTCGAATTGATCAAAGAAACTTTGAGTTCCATTGACTTTAAAAAATAAAGCCACAATATCTTCCCATACATCAGAAGAGTGTAATTTTGAAGAGCTTTTTTTTTTTTTTTCCCCTTTGGTGAATAACTTGGTGAAGATACAGGGATACACATCCATGTCTCTACGACGCTTTTTAAGGGAGAGACGTGAAAGTCATTTAAGGATCCTACCAAGAGTCAACCAAATCCTTCATGGTAGAAGGCACTCACGAAATAATCCACGCCAAACATGCTCTGGTGAGGTGACTATTTTGTAGTGACAATATTGTAGTTCATATCTACAGAGGGTGTTTGCACTTAAGTTTGAGTAGCACATGAGGTGAATATGAACAGTAAATAGTATTGGAGTTACTTATTTGTTTAGCTGTGATGATTCTTGCAGGAACTAGTATTTCCTCTCAAAAAGTATTTTCATGTTGGGATCCAGTACCAGTTACAGTTAAAAAAAAAAGTTTATGTGTATTATATACTATTCATGGATAGTTATTACTCTCAGTCATTAGTAATTAGAGAAGAAAAGAATTTTATGTGCAAGCAGTGCTGATTTTCCTAGCAGTTCCAAGTGTATAGTAATATCTCATAAATACAGATTCAAATGCTTTATACCAAATTCTCTTCCACAGTCATTTTTAAAAGAACTTCATTAACTGCTCCACTCAAAAAATATAATTAATTGTACTAAAATAATACTTTTTAAAAAGTGTACTGTTAAAAAGTTAAAAAAAGTTAAAAGTTAACTGTACTAACAAAATTAGGAAGCTCTGCTCTCTGAGTGAATGTACTAAATTTAAGACTAACCACCACTTATTCAACCCTAAAGTCTTGCTTCACACAGTATGTAGTATAACAATATGTTAATGTTACTCAAAATGATCTTTGTGTTTAGTAAAGCAACATTTTCTTGGAGTTTTTCACTAAAATAGATTAACCTTGACTGGCTAACAGAAGTTGAAGCAGATTTTTTGATAATTAATTAATTAATACTTTCTTACAATGACCTAGTGTGGTTAGAAAGAAATAAAAAGAACGTTTTGTTAGTTTATTTTTATATTACCTGGGTAAATATGGTAAACATAACATAAACATAACATAAATATAAACATATGGTAATGCATTTCTGGTGGTTCTTTTTGCTCACATTTTGTTTCATGCTGTCCCCAAGGAATCTCCTGTCATCTCTTTTGTTTGATATGAAGATTATAGCTTTCCTTTCTTCATTGTTTCTTGATAACTTCAGAAATGCAAAGATCTCTCCTTTTCTGACTTCTCAGTTCTGGGCATTGTTGAAGCCACGGTTTTGTGCCCTTAGGGATGTTAGTTAATAAATTACCAAAATTTAACGAGTAACTCCACTCAACTTAGACACAAGTTATGATGTTATTTGCTAATAATCACAGTAAAGATAAATTGTGTTTTAGGCACATGAGATGCAGTTTTACAAAATAAAACAAAGCCTCCTCAAATTTCAGTCTTATTTGGGATTCAATCATTGCTTCCTAGTAATCACATAGTAATTGTTTGTGTAGCCATAAAAGCTGCCATTTGTATATGTGTGCATATACATATATATATACATATACATATATATATTTAACATTTATGCAATTCTGCATTTTGAGTACCTGCTGGGCATTCATGAATGAAATGGGACTAATTTCAAGTGCAGGCAAAGCCTTGGTTGCATGGGAGAAAAATTCAAATAAATTGAACACATTCTAATGTACTTAATTTTCCTTCGTAGCCTAATTTCCTTCAGATTCTAGTCTTTTACATAAATCTTGAAACATTATATAACCAGCTCTTATTTACAGGTTCCTTTTGCTACATGTATGGGTATGTATGGTCAAAAAAATTACATGTTTCTCTTGGGAACTGTCTCTTTTCTCTCCCGCCCAACCCTATTATTATTCCGGAACTCCATTAGATTGTGCTGCTTTCTTTTTGAAGTCTTCAAGTAAGCAAAAATGCAGTTTCCTTTCCTTCCTGTTACCCATTTTATGTTGACAGTAGGAAAGCAATTATATGGTTCTACTTTTAACCTTATATATCCAGTGAGAATTATTCCATTGTTTTTGGTCAAAGACCCTTTGAGGACTTTTGCACTGGTAAGAGTTTTCCCACCTTTTTGGTGGCAGCCTTCAATTAGCATTCAAAGTTTCAGACAAAAAGCTGTGCAGTATCTAGATCAAGGTTTTAGATTATGTAACATGAAAGACAGTGCAGCCTAGGAACATTTCTATCTTTTAGCTGCACTAGGTAAAATTAAAGTTTTGGCAAGCCTTTGTTTATAAAGTAAATTTTCTTGTGATTCTGTGAATCCCATGATGTAGAAATCCCTTTTTATCCCATGACAAAATTTAGCCACCCAATCCTGTTGTCCCCAAATCCCCCAAAGATTTCCTCTCATTTCTTTAGCATCTTTGAAAGTTGCTGAGAGCAGTTTTGGTCACTGTCACTTCAGTCTTTCCCCGCACATTAAAAAAGAACTATAGAAATCTTTATGTGAATAATGAATGTCCTAGTTCATGCATTTGATTTTGCATTATCTTAAAAAAAATATATATATATATATACACACACACACTAATAAGGGAAGCTGTACTGGCTCCCAGAGCCTGTATGCTTCATCAAATCTGTCAGTTTTTTCTCATTCTAATAAAGAAGAGAATATTTGCTTATATGTTAACAGACAGGTGGGTTAGTCCTCTTTGGCTTGATTGTCCTTCCTCTGTCCTCTACAAGCAGGAAACTGCAGCCGCCCATTCGCCAGGAGTGGCCACGTTGCCTTTATCCCTTTGCACTGGCCGGGCCCTTGCTGTGTATTTCACTTTATATTTGCTCTTTGGAACATAAAGATTGGGAAGGGCTCCTCCATGGGTCCTCTCACAGAGGGCAGGTAGCCAGGCCTGCCCTCAGACAGAGGGGACTTGTGTTTTCCACCTGGAGCTTCTCCATCACCGGCAGTTCCACGTGATGCTGCGTCTCTGGCTGTAGGCAGATGGGGTGGCAGTTACAGAGTTTGTGGAAGGGTTCATCCCTGGAAACAAGTGGCTTTACAGTCTTCTCTGAGGAAACTTGTTTCCCATCAGTGGAGGAAGCTTTCCCAGGCCTGCAATGGCCTCTTGTCATGAGCTTCCTGGAGTGGGACTAAGAGCAGAGCATCCTTTGAGATTCTCCTCTTTTTTCTCTTTCTCTAAGATTGAATCATGATCTGTAAAACTTTCTGAAGTGGAAACATCCCTCTTCAGTCTGTGCGGTGGTTAGCAGGGACTGAGTATCTGCGGATATAGCCTGTAATCCACATCTTTCACACTGGAATCAGGTTGATGAAGACTGAAGCTCTGTGTACTCTTCAGGCAGGTAGTGATGAAGTGACGATCTATATCCTGGGGTCCTTCCGATCTAAACGAGTACATTCTCTGACAACCTTGTCAGGCAGCACTGTAACATGGATTTCTTATACTAATACATTTGCTGGAGTGAAAGTCAAAGCCAGGTTAATCCATAGCCTGGGCAGTCCACCACAGGAGATGAAGAGAAGCCTAGAAGAAGCACACTGGGATATCTGAGGGGATAGAGATGTGGTGCATCTTTTCCTGGCATTGTATGAGTATTCATGCTTGTTATTGGGCTTTCCTGTGTGAGAAGAGTGTGCAGCTTACAACTCAAAAACAAAATGGATGGATGAAGGAAATGCCAAGACTGAACAGATGTCAGAGTGAATATATGAGCACAGCAAGGGCAGACATACCTGTGTCCCTGAAGGTTTCAGCATAAGCAAAGTCTGCTTGGAACCTGAGTAAACGCTAACAATTCTGGACAGTGTTAAAGTCTTTGCCACTGCAACTTCTTAACTGTTATTCCCTGTGCTCATTTGGGCTGGGCTTTTAGGACAGTGTTTACTCTTGTTGCAGTCATACCTTCATTTGCTAGCTGGATAAACCTGTGTTGAAAACAGATGTACTTGAGATTTGCAGCTTCCGTATTTGAGCCTCCCATTAGCTGCCTGGCTAGAAATACCCTCATGCTGCTTTCTAGAAGAAAAGCTGGAGAAGAGGTGAGAGTGACTCCATAGGAAGGTGGCAAACAGCACTGAGATGTTAACACTAGCAGTGGGCAGTTCAGTGCAGCGCTCCCAGATGAAGAGTGCTTTAAACATCTCAGTGAAAAACAATTTTGCTCAGTCTTGTTGAAGTCTAACATAAGTGAAGAAGTGGTCAGGGCCTGCACCTATAGCTGACCTATGCTGTATCATACATGGCTGTATCTGCAGTCTGTAAACACTCAGGGTGGGACATGAGAGGAGGACGTTATAATTAAAGAGATAATTACAAGAACAGTGTAGTTATTGGAGGCAAATATATTTGTGAAGTCATCTTGTGCCACCTGCTGCACTTATGGAACAAAGTTCAGTTAAAGTGAGAGCTCTCACCATTTCCTAGGCATTTGTTGGAGGCAGAAGAAGGGAAAACTGGAGGATTGTTTTTTCTCTGATGATTTTCACTCATGATGAACTGCAGAAAAATTTCTGTAGCAGAAATGAAGAGCTATTATTTTTTTTCAGAATGGTGTTCGTGGCTGGATTTTGTGGCTCAGGGTAAGTTGACTTAACTTTATAAGAACTCCTTGATCTCGTAAATGTGGACGAACTGTGCAGGCTGCTTAGTCAAGGGGTATTTAAGGTGTGTAACTTGGATTTGTTCTCTAGGAAGCATTTTGAACTAAATCTTTTGTACATGCCAGAAAAAGCATACAGTTCAAGAGTCTTACTCCTGAAAATTTTTATAGCTCAGTGACACTTGCAAATATACCACTTGACAAAATGCATGTTGTTTGAGGAGTCTAAATGGTGAATGGTAGTGCTTAGATGCCTTTTTTAATCACCTTTTCCAAAGGAAGAAAAATACTAGATACTTTTAGGATCTGAATATTCATGTAAAAACTTCTATATAATATATATTTTTCATTTCAAAGTCAGTGATAGCAACCCTCGCCAGCACAAAACTTTATCCCATTTTATAACTGTGAAATGCTAAAATGAAATGATTTATTTGGCTCAGCCCAGTGAGTTAGTACTAGGCACACCAGCACAAACATTGTCCCAGCTGATGTCCTTCAGCATCAGAAGAGTTACCAAGAAGTGTGTCCCTCTGGAGACATTTGTTTCTTCCCTCAGAACTCAATTTCAGAGCAGCCCCATAGGATTTTATAGGGCAATTGCTGATGCTGTTGCATCT